TTTTCCTCATTCATCAGTTCCTCAAAATACTCCTTCCATCTTCTCTGCACACTCTCCTCACTTGTTAGCACCTTTCCATCTCTGTCTTTAATCACCCTTATCTGTTGTACATCCTTCCCATCTCTATCTCTCTGTCTTGCTAATCTATACAAGTCCTTCTCACCTTCCCTCATGTCTAACCTGGCATACAAATCATCATATGCTTTCTGTTTGGCCATTGCCACCTCCCTCTTCACTCTATGCTGCAATTTCTTATAATCCTGTCTACTGTCTTCAGTCCTTTCTACGTCCCACTTCTTTTTAGCTAGCCTCTTCCTCTGAATGCTGTCCTGTACTTCCTCGTTCCACCACCATGATTCTTTATCTTCTTTCCTCCTTCCAGATGAGCTTGTCAGCACTTAAAATTTAAAAGTCAAAGTCACACATTTAATATCCTTCAGTTAACCAACCAATGTGCTGTTAAAAGCACTATATATACACTACATTTTATTATGATCATTAACTGAAACAAAGCAGTAAATTACTCTATGCCTCTGTCAATAAGTCAAAAATATGTGTGCAATTATGCAACATTTATGACTGATGTCGAGCTAGATTAACAAGAAACAAAAGCACCTGAGCCATTTAAGTGAAGTTTGTCAAGAGAACATAACAGGTATCAACTTGGTTGCTGTGAGTATACAGTATATGTAGTAGTTAATTCTTACTATAATTTCAGTGTACATGTGTAGCTTCAAGGAGTTTAATAACAAAATGACCTAACTATTAATCCTTGCTGACATTTACATAACACAAATTGCTTCATTTCAAAAGCAAAGGTGAATGACTGCAACCTAGAAATCTGCCTGTTTTTTTTATCTCAGTTTAGCAAATAAGAATTACATAATGGTTCCATTTTATGCCTGGTACTCTTTATCAAAAGCAAGGAAAATGTTATTCCATTAGAATATTTCATATTGTTGTCAAACTTTTTTCAGAATAGCCAGTCTGCCACTCAATGGATATACAATAAAGACCAATCAAAATGTTGGGAAACCACAGTGTATATTTGATGGGAAAACACAGTTCTGAAGCTTTGTTACTGATAACTTGCTAAAAACATTTTAAGACAAGTAAATTACCAAATACATTTTACAGACCTCAGTATTAAACCTGCAAAAAGTTCTGGAGATCACATGTGAAGAGAACTCTTAATATAACTTGTTTCATTTCTCATGACTTTCAAGTGTATCAGGATCACACACACAGACAAGTCCACAGTAGCTGACATTTTCAAACACCCAGAAATGCACACTTTGACTTTTAACACATGGCGAACCAGACAAGGTTTAATGACTGCTGTGATATATTCCAGTTAAATAACTCAGGTTAGCTGAGTATGATAAACACAGCAAGAGAGAAGGTGAAGGGGAAACAAAGACCCTGATCAAAAGAGAGAATGAGTCCCAGAGAGACAGATGTAATAATGAAAAGTAAATGATAAAGATGAACAGGAGTAAATGAGAGAAAAAAACACTCATACAATATTCAGCCCAAACATGAACATTTTTTATTACTGGGTTGGCATCCACACAGCTGCAGCTCATTACATGCCTGACTAAAGTAGAAAACACTTAACAGTTTCACAGATGAACAAGAGAATGAGAGAAGAGAAGAGGAACAGGGACAAGAATAGAAAAACAAAAGGGAGGGGAGACGGTGAATGGGGCACTGAAGTGAGAGAGAACAGGCAGAAAGAGGAATAGAGTGACAGAATGGGGAATGTGGGAGGGATGGAGAAAATGTGCAAGTAAAAGGGTTTGAAATGCAAGGAAAATGTCTGTGAGTAGATGGGAAAAAGATGAGAGCACTGAGCAACAGCAGCAAAGGCTGGGGCTGGATCATAATGGAAAATGGCATTTGAAACAAACCAACATTAGTCAGAGTGACACGGACACACAGACAGAAGTTGACAGGTTGATGGGCAGAGGCAGGAGAAATGACAATGGCAGAAAGAGTAATGAAAGAGAGGAGAAAGTGAAAATGGAAAAAGTGGGGGAGCTGGCTGACATATGCCCAAATTCCAAAATATAAACTTTTGTCTGGCTTTCACTCACTGCCCAGAGCAGGCTCCAAACTGCCTCATTAATATTGGATGCAAGCCCAACACACACTCACAGCAGGTATGGCAGGGAGCATTAATATTATAGGGCAATATTCAGTCATGGTATTGCATCATTTCAGATTAATTCTGACATGTTTACAGAAGGATGCTTATCTATTCTGCTGTGAATGGTGATGTCTGAAAAGCACAAGGTGAAAGGTGTTTATTAAGTGACGTTTGTCCAAATAATGCTGGCTAGAAAGCCAAAAGAACTGACAGACAGGAGGGGTCCTCTGTTTGGTGTTCAGACAGGTGAACTTGACAAAAAGAAATCCAACATGGCAGAGTGGGGATATGCCTGACTGCACTAACAGGCACATATTACAAAACCACAAGCATACACACAACTCTGCAGCAACCTGCAACAACATCAGTGACTCAGTGTGCATGCTGGCAGAGGCAGACAGCGACACTCCTTCCTGCAGCACAGCCTCTTGAACAACAAAGACAAACTCTCCACCCTATTCTTAGTAACACGGCAAGACATCAAGACTACCGCTCCACAACAACACCCCTGCTGGTGCTATCAAGGGTTAGTGAGTTTAATAGTGTGTGTTTATCCCTGCCCACAAAACTGATAATGAACATGTATATTCTTGTGTGTTCACATCTGGATGTCTGTCTTTGTGTGTCAATAATCACAATCAAATGCAGTGCTTAAGAACTGTTTTTTTATCTGCATATAAACAGGACAGGTCCCTGGAGGATGTTCACCCACCCCTTCATTAATTCTACCCAGAAGAAGGAACAGAGAAATTCTATTGTTCTATCATTCTCATACTGTTTTCCTGAGGTCTCTCCTGGTTCTCATATCCTCCCACTGTACTCTTATTTGTATTAATACAGCAGCTGCCTCCCTCACTGTGTCTCAGCAGCCAGTATAAAATGCAATCAGCTAAGAATGATTCAGAACAAATCTGAGCTGACCCTGAAAATCATACCTATATACAGGCTGGCAAAACCCAAGTTCAGCAAAGGAGCTTTTCCACCCATATAAGCACGTGAAAGTTGTTACACAGTGCAGTGCAACACATTTTCCAATTCAAAACAAAGATTTACCTACATATTTTATAACTGCTCTTTAAGGATTCTGGTCAGCATCCACTTTGCTATAAGACAATTTCTAATTTAAAAAATAGAAAGAAAGAAATATACAGAGCACAATGTAATTTAACAATATTTGTCATTTTGATAGAAACATTTCTCGATCTGTATCGAAAAACCCCTACCACCATAAACATAAACTGAAATACAGAGAGTTTGTTTGCAGCTTATTCAGGTTTGTTTTTCTGCTCAGATGTGTTCTTACCCCCAGCAAATTGGAAGTTCTGTTAAGTGCTTCTTTGTCCACATGGATGCAATGGCTCTCCATGGCTGAAACAACACAAGCAAATGCACTTATGTACACTACTGAAAATAGGGTAAATGCTTATTGTCCATGTAAAAACTAGGTATGAATGTTGAATAAAAAGGGTTACATGAAAGTGAATACACACTGCTCCAATCTTCTTCAACTTTCAAGCTTCAAGAGTCTTTGAGATTTGTTGAATTTGTGTTGTCAATCATTTTTAGTTAATTATCTCTCAGCCACAGCTTTAACTAACCCAGCAACTTCATTTCCTAAGAATAAATCAAAGATTTAATCAACCAATGCTACATGGTTTCCTATTTTAATGCAAAAGAGCTTGTACTTTTTCTGATTAGTCAGGGTTATTCGAGAATATATTTTCTCCACAAATGCACTGCACCAGGGTTTTGTCATTTCATATCATACATTATCTATAGAATATAAACATGCAAAAGATGTATTTGGTTGCTAATAATGGAGAGTAAAGTGACTATTACCTGCCAGGACAGGGATCATTTTCAGCTCCATCTCTGAATAAAGCTCCCACAGCCCCTGGCTCTGGACACACAAAGAGGCAGTTAGACAATCTGTGTCCCCTGGAATTACAGCTGCATATGTGTTTGAGTATATTTGCTAACCTGCAGTTTAGCACACAGCTCCATGTTAAGCCAGAAGAGTGCAGAGAGCCCCGAGATGACTTGAGAAACCTGAGTAAGACAGACAGAAAATCATCGGGAAAGAGAGTAGGTGGCAGGTATCATGCAGTCATCATTTTCCATTCTGGAAGATGATCTACTACTTTCTTGTGTTCAGGGATAAATAAGAAGTCCAGGTACCAGGAAACATAAAATATGACCTCTCTTAGAAGCCCCTTTATCCTTTCAAACACAGACTCCTGAATGCAAATTCCAGCCAGTTTGTTAATTAGTATAATGGGGTGGAGTATCAACCTGTTTGTGTCCTTGAACCAGATGGCCTAGGCCCCAAATACTGTTTCTAAACACTAAAACTCTTCCAGATCCACCAATTTGTCCTGTATGTGACCTTGACATCTTAAATAGGGAATTTTTCTGATTTCTGATAGGATCAGTAAATTCAAATTTTAACTAACCTTCTTGGTGCCCATGGCAGGTGTTGAAGGGGGTCTTTTGCAGTGTTTACTAAGAAGGTCCCAGTAGCAAGAGGAGGGATCTGCAGGATCCAGTAGCCATCCTGACACCTGTGGATCCTGGATATGACAGCCTGCCACTGGAGAGAGGAAAGCTCTGAATGGTATTGCACAGTATTTAATATGCTGTACTGTATGCTGATAAGAGATTTGTAACAAATACTTTGGAGATTACAGCATATGTGTAAAAACATGCATATATATATATTTGAATTACGACTGATTAAAAATGTCTGCTGCAGAAGTGATCCGACATGTTTGTCACTCTTCTGATACTTGAGCTCATCTATGAAAACCTCTAGTTGTACTGTCAATTAAGTCCTTGATAAATGATAATGATGATGATGAATTTACAAAGTAGTATTTTGAAGTAGAACTAAACAATCATAACCAGATAAGTGTTTATGTGCATGTTGTGCCTTTTTTCCAGTCAAGATCCTGTTTGTAAAACTGCAGAGCTGTACGAAGCAAATCCTTGGCTTTATAGCACACCACTAGCTCAGATCTTGATAGTACCCGTAGCAGCATATCTCTATGGGACACAAACATACATATACTTTGTTTTAAACTCTACTCTAAACTCACACTTCATATTCACACTCATTACTCACACACATACTTGCTCACCTAGTAAAGAGATTCTGGCTATCAAGTGGGTGTCGCTTGGCCCAAGCAGGTGTTTGCTCTAGTTTTAAGTAGACCAGCCTATCGTTCGGCCTGAGCAGGTCTTCCGGTGTGTTGCAGTCGTGATCATTCTTCATCAGTACAAGGAGACCACACACCGGGGTAGTGAGCTTCTATATCAAGGATCAGAGAGGGAAATTAATGTGAGCAAACAGTTAATTGTGCAGTTAACTATAAGAATAAATGGTTAACAATAATCTTAAACAAGTTGGGCAAATATAAGCCACAAGGCAAAGCTTGAGACTTTTTTCCTTAATAGATGCAAATGTTACAACACTGAAACATGTAAACCCTTAATTTATAATAAAATAACTTTAATGACATTTGGTTTATTGTAGCACATTGCTAACTCAACCAATTAGCACTAAGGGCCTGACCAACAGTATACGGCTAAATGTCACCTAGATTAAGTCTTCCAGTTTCATCTGTCAAAACTTGTGTTCATGTTTACATGTTTACTTCATAAATTCTAGTGCTGGTTTTCCATATTATTTCAAGACTGAGAGAGCAACCTGGTAGTAATTTCCAGACCAAACTGAACTCATGCCCCCCACCTGTGGTCACCTGTTCTGGGTCTAACTGAGTGCTTCCGTCCTGGTACACCATGGTTAGTACTAGTGCCTTGGCCTGCATTGCCTCCTTCAGCATTTGCATCCTCTCATCTGGGTTAAGCGTCCCAGAATCCTTCACTCTAGGGTCAGATGTCAGGGTTGCAGTCAGACTGCCAGCTGTGGAATGGGGCTGCGGCTCGCCAGAATTAGCCCACCTATTTTTGGCCTGGTCAGGCTCACATTTGGCCTGCTTGTGCTTGGTTGGTTTGTGAGCCACAGAAGATGGGGTCTGTTTGGAAGTATTCCTAACAGATTCATGACCTCTTTCTTTAATCTTACTCTGCCTTTGTTGAGTTTGCTCCAGCACACTCAGCACAGTCGTATGCACCCCTGATAATATTTTTGTTTGATGTGAATTAGTCTGTGGTTCAACTGCGTGTTCAGGTATAGAAGACGTGGGTCTGGCTCTCTTCCACTCATTGGCCCCTCCTTCCCCTGCCTTTTCTTGTGAGGAATGAGGTGGCACCCACTTTGGAGGATGCCTAGTCAGGTAGATTTTGGAAGGACGGTTCAAATTTTGACGCTCAAGCACTTCATGCTTCCTCTTTAAGGAGAGGATCAAGGGACGCTGTGAAAGAGTTTGGGAAATTGGCAGATGGCTTTTTTCCAGTTTTTCTCTTGGTTTTATGAGAGTTGAGGCCAATTCGTGTACTGAAGGGGAGTTTTGTCCAGTAGAAAAGGTAGTTGCTGCAGCCAGTACCACACTTGAGCTGCTCTCTCTGATGCTTCCAGCAGTCTGCACAACAGCAAAGGTGAGCAGTATGCAGGCAGACAGGGACAAGGAAAACAGAGAGAAAAGGGAGAGCCAATAATAAATAAGACAGATTCATGCTGCAGCATCACTTAAAAACAGACTAAATTTCTGCACTGGTTCAGTTACACAAAAAAATCAATAACAGCAAATCAGTTTAGAAAAGTCAGCTGCTCATATTTAGCTTTTACACAGAGAAGAACACAAAACTTATTTATTCATTCCCACTCATGCTTAGAGCTAGTTGTATTGTGCATAATTTGTCAAACAGTGAATGAAAGCTGAGAAAATAAACAGGTAAGCAGGTGGGTGAGGGAGAAAAATGATGCAATAAAGGAAAGCAAACAAGAAAATGATGTGAAATGATGATGATGTGAAGAGAGGACAGCTGCAGCCATTCAGCCTTCAGTGTTGTGTCCCAGACAAAAACACAGACAGTCAAACCACTGTTTTTCAGACATCTCCATTACTCCTATCTGTAACTCCCATCTATATGATGCTAAAGCACTAAGTGTATGCCTCAAGTTATGTGAAGGTGGGTATTTGAAAGATTTTTAAATACCATGTGTGAGTTTATGCATGTGTTCAATTCTGTATGGTTGTCAGCAGTGGGCTCTGTAGGTAGGACTTTCTGTGATTCAGCTCCCTGAGGACAGTCTTCCTTATTTCCCTGTAAACAC